CTTTACATTTATATTCTTAAAAACATAATATAATATAATATAATATAATATTTAAAGAAAAAAATAGGTATTTTTATGCATAATGACTAAGCATAATCAAAATTAATCATAAAGCAGTGATGCTCGTGAATAGCAGAGCGGGAGACACCGAGTGGCAGTATCTAATCCATTTTTCTCTAAACAGTTTGATGAAATGATTAAGTAGATGCTGAAACAAAAAAAATCATTACCCTCGATTAAGATTAGCTAAGCAATAACTTCAAATCATATTGTATGGATTTTTCCAACCGCTAAGACTCCTGATATATTCATCCTACTTGCTTCATGCTGTCATGCATTAGATTGCCATTTGACAAATAATCCTCACTCAGAGCCACCGAATGCAAAACGATCTGACTTTATGAATCATTTATCACATTGTTTGATCTTTAAGAACCTGAAAAAACATGAACCGTTCGTTGTTTTCCTGTTCTTTGTGTGTGTGACTGTTTCCATAGAGCGCGCCACCATAATTTATTCCCCCAGCTACTTGGAACCATTAGCAAACTTCCAGGAGACCAATTAGCATTGGAAACCCAATGGTGAGGTTGTGGTGACAACCTCCTCAAACTGCGAAAGAAGTGTTATAAACAAACTGGACCCCAGGAGTACAGCCAGGGCCGGAGGGAGGCCCGGGCCCCCGTTCGCAAAAACAAACTTTGGCGGAGTGTCCATAATGTGGCCTTAATGGTGTTCCCTCCAGGGCCTGAGCAGGCTAGCCCTGGCTTGGCTAATGACGAAGGGCCAGAATCACGAAAACAAATGCGGTTCCTTCAACCTCAAACCCCTAAAATGAGCACAGGATAGGCTGTGCTGCTCTAAAAAGGCACCAGCTCTGGTCGCTCCTACTGATTAGTCATAGATTGAGGAACAGATGCTTTAAGAGCTACCTACTCAGCTTGCTATCTCCACCGTGGCCCTCGCTAGTCCACCAGACGGACCTCCGGTATCCTGAAGTAAATTCACTTGAAAACTAGAAAGGTGGGTTTATCGGACGAGGGCGCAATATCAGAGCAGAGCTTAAAAAAAACAGCCTTCAAAGCTTCCCTGGGGAATCTTAAGACTAACATCAGATAGAGTGGAACATGCTGAAGGAATAAGATAAGACATGAAACGATAGAGAAGGACGAAGAGAATGGATGTCAATAGAGGGCTTGTTTTCAAAGGGCAAGTGTTGTAATTACCCAGCCAGGCACAGAGAGGATGCGGCCAGGGCTAATCATATGCACCAGGCTGCCTGACTGGAGGGTGAGAGCCGGTGGCAGAGCTCTCCAACTCAGCATCCTCATCCAGACTGGCGGACAGAGACCAGTCCGTGCCCACTGTGCACTGCGCGCCATGATTTTGTAGATGCGCCATGCCAACTAACCGCTGTGATGCCTCATTTGGAGACTCTGAAGTGCCAGTTTCAAGTCATTGGGATGAGCAGGAAGGACCTTGAATGGTTAAACGCAGACCAAGTCCTGTCCCATGACAAATGACTTCTTATCATTATAGAGCACACATATTGGGGTCAAAACTTTTTAATTCAGGGGCAAAATTTACAGTTTAGTAAATTTTAGTATTTTTTCCAACCTAAATAAATAAACAAACAAATAAATAAAACATTGTTATTTGTATGTTAAAATTTACATTAATCAATACAATCCAATGCATTACCTCTTCATATATATATATATATATATATATATATATATATATATATATATATATAATTATAATAATAAAAAAATAATCAGAAACATTAGATACATCTTTTTAATTATGAATCGATTGTTTATTGATTTAATTTAAATTTGACTTCAAAAGCAGCTGGCAGGGAAAATTGCAATAAATAAAAATAATATCAATTAATTTAAGATTCTCTCAAAAATAATCAGAATCTGCTAATATACAGTGGTTTATATAATAATTTTATATATAAATTAGTTTGCCTGAATATAAGCACATTTTTAGTGGTTTCCAAAAATGGTGACTGTTAGATGGTGTAGTTACAATGTCTACAAGCAGGGGCAAAATGGGCCATGCTAACCAGGTAAAACAACGCGCCTTAAAGTTCCTGGTGACTGTGAGTATGATGTTCACGTGGCAATATTGTAACTCTGCTTACAAGAGATGCCAATTAATCTGTCACAGTTGTTTTCTAAGCTCATTTACCACACAAAGGAAATTATCTCCAAAACAAGCGCTATTTATTAAAACTGAAAGGGACCATAGTACATTCATCCTCACGTTTGGGACAAGAACATCAAGTTTGCTATGAACAGCTGCTGTGCTTTCAGTCTGTTGATGGGTGTTGCAGGTGAGGCAGACTCCGGCAGAGCCCTGATAAAGAGTTCTATCACCTGGGAGTGAGAGACAGGGGAAATATCTCTCATCTCGCTCTCATTAGCGAATGGAAACACACCATTCATCAAGGGAGGCAGTTAATAATCACACTCAATCACATAATGACCGACTCAAACTGAGCCATCATTATGGAAATGGAACCTGTATCGAAATCATCTCCGAGAGAGCCCGGTTCCTTGAGGGAGAAAATAGCACAGAATACCCAGCATCCAGTGCTGTGTGGTGTAAAACAGGTGAGTTTTCTGGAAGTGATGATGTCCACTTTATAGGGTGAAGCATTTGTGAGATTTATGTAGTGCTGGTGGCAACCAGATGGAATCACTTCTCTGATTAACATAATTAGCAAAGTCCATCTTAATGATTCGGAATGTGTTGAAATTCCCATCATATAATTGACTGTCTCTTTTCTTGGCAAATCTCTGTCAGAGCAAAGCAAAAAACATTAGCATTAAACATATTTAAAAAATATTGGACGTGAAGTGCATCGGTAGTCAATTTTTTGCCAGATAGGGTGCTGTAGGTATTACGTATTTTCATAAGCCAAAACCTAGAAAAGATTTGGCATTTTAACACTTCCACATCCACTGTCCTAAAGTCAATGGGTTTTTGAATGGATTTTTGGTTAAATGCCTGAAGTAAGGTCTGTGGTTAACACAAGCTCAAGATATTTTCACATTTTATTCTACAAGACAAAATATATCAATATATTTACTTGTGTTGAAAAATGTGGATGCTAGCAAGTGGCTAAATAGGTTGTTGGGGGCAATAAACACCATCACACCGACCAAGAAAACTCATCTATGGACTAGCCCATTTTTCAGTCTATGTTTAGCTTTTAGCTACTTCTGGTGACTGTATTTAGGCTTCAAAATTAATAAAAGTTGTGTTCATTTGTGAAGATTATAATGATGAACAAAACGTGTAAGAATCAAACTTTTGTTGGTCACAGATTATTTTCTACAGTAATCCAAAAGCCAACGGAAAAAAACTGAAGGGTTTTTGTCGAGGGAGCTGGGGTGATGCTATAACTTTAGGGTTGGCCTACAAAAATACATAATCACTGCTGCACTCTATTGGAGGATTTGTGTCTCCCGCCGGCCCTCAGGTGCCCAACAAAGTCCCATTATTTCCCCTCACTACATTATTAACTCTAAGTTTACCCCCCGTTACCCAAGACACCAGCATCTGAGCCCCTTTAACTTCCTTGACCCCCCAGCCCTGCTTCCCTACAGATCCTTACCCCCCTTCAATGGCCATCAGGCAAAAATTCATGGACAGTACACCGCTATCCAGGCCTCCAGCCATGCGAGCCCACTGTGAACCCATAATTACACTGCATTAAGGTCAGTGTAATGAGGAAAGCCCTGTAGGACTTCACAGTGGAACGGGAAGAATCGTGTAGGCCCACCTATGCAACCCTGCGGTACATCCGTGAGCTGAACTCCCAAACCATATGTTAATATTCTTCTAAAGCCTCTCTCACACAGTGATACTGAATCGTGATCAGTAATACGAGGCGTAATAAATGTTTTCTTATTAAATAATAAAAAAAGAATTAATAAGGCATTAAAAGATACTTCAAAAACTGCATGTTACGTTGTCTTCGATATATTAGTGCTTTGAATACGAGCAGAGCTGTGTTTGTAATAGAAGTCTCAGGTTGTTCTTATAAGAAATGAGAGGTAAATATGAACTGACCTGCACATGATCTCATGGGTGAGGAGAACACGACACATCTCTGGGTTTTTGTCTTGGCCTTCATAAAGGATTGGCTAAAAGAGAGAGAAATTCATGTTATTTCTACTGTGTGTGTGTGTGTGTGTGTGTGTGTGTGTGTGGTGCTTTAAAAGTGTTTGCTGATTTACCTCAAAATCCCATTCAAAAGTTTGGGGTTGGTAAGATTTTTAAATGTTTTAAAAGAAGTTTCACCAAGACTGCATTTATTTGATAAAAAATACAGTAAAAACATTAATATTGTAAACTATTATTAAAATTTAAAACAACTGTTTTCTATTTTTATATATTTTAAAATGTAATTCATTCATGTGAATTTTCAGCATCATTACTCCAGTCTTCAGTGTCACATGATCCTTCAGAAATCATTCTAATATGCTGATTTGGTGATCAAGAAACATTTATTATCATCAGTGTTGAAACCGTTTTTGTGGAAACCGTTCCAAGAAACGGTGATGAGCAGAAAATTCATAATGAGAACATTTATTTGAAATGGAAATAATTTGTAACCTTATAAATGTCTTTATTGTCACATTTGATCTATTTATTCAGTCCTTGCTATTCAGTCCTCTTGTCTTCTGACTTGGCCGAACTCCTCCTTTAGCTCATCCTGAAACCAGTGATTGCTCAAGATGTTCAGGATGCTGACACCTGGTCATTAGTCATGTTTTTGGTTCGAAGTATGCTGACAACTTTAACATATGCTAAAAGCTAAATCTGGTCATCGGGGGCTGGACGTATGCGGCGATCCGAGGGGGATCCAGACTCTGCTGGGGCTCATGTGGAGTAACAATCTTCCCGTTCTACCCATCAGCATCCACCCCGAGCAGCCAGATGGCCAGCCAGGCCCCGAAAGAGAGGCCTCCTCCCAGGCATCCATCATCGGGCTGTCATGCCTGGCCTGAATGACGGATGATCGGTGCATATCAAGGAAGCTAAAGGACTCACCCCCCTTCCTACCAGACCTCATCCCCATCACCAGTGAAGATGAATCCATCATAAACACACACACACATACATAAGGAACGCACAACACAATCCACCTCAAACTATTCTCCATCTTACTCAACTCTGGTCAGTCGGCCAGACAGGGTTGACCCAACGCCCTAGGGAACAATACTTTTAGTATAACGACCACTTCTACATTATTGATCTTTCTCTTCGCTGCCTATGAAAGTCTCTTCCTCTTCATCACCATCCTCCATTTTTCTCGAAGGGGGAGGGGATTTGGGATCGGAGGGGGTCGGGAGGTGGATCGGGTCGATATTTACAGTATATATCATCATTCTTGATTCACATCGCTGGCGCCAAAGTAGTGGCCCCACCCTGGTTGTTCAAGCACGTCTGACTCCAGCGATATGGAATAGTGTTACAAGTCTTCCATGAACTCCAAACACGCTCTTTCCTGGTACCTTAATTAAGTCATCTCACCTTACAAGAAATATTTCGATTAGCAGTACAAAAATTCATTTTGGGGAAACATTCAAATTGAAGGCGGCATAACTCAACCAAGATCCTTCTCTCTCATATTCTCAATTAGAAGAAAAACTGGTTGTTCTCGATCGATATTCGCAGCTTCGCTGTTGATGCACATATGTAAAGCCTGTGTGCGCGGGTAGGGGGGAAGGATTTTACAGGCATGCACAGCTACAGCCCTTTTTTGTCGTCGGGAGGATTATTGTCTCCAGCGTGTCGGCTCTGCAGCTACATTAAGGCCTATTGATTGGTCTCCGGGGTTGATGCTTTGTCGAGGAACTGGTTGCCATATTGATCTGAGACAGGCTGACACACAGTGACAGTGGGACCTGCTGGGCTGAGGAAAGGATAGGCCATACGAAGACCAGGGGGGTTTGAAATCTGGTCAATTTCATGACGGAACGAAGAACGCAGGTGCAGGACTGAGTCGAGAGTATGAGAGGCATCTCTAATGGGACTTTTATTTGCATGCGGGGTTCAACACATGCACTTTTAGTTAGGGATGCACGATATATCGGCCACCATATCGGTATCGGCCGATAAATGCTCATTTTTTTCTGTTATCGGTATCGGCCCGATAAGCAAATGTTGCCAATATCTTAAAGCCGATAAATAATGCATTATTTCCTTCAGAGACACTTCAGATGCGCGCTGTTCGTTTGCAGCCTTTTGTGCAATTGTACGTTGTAATATTGTGTTTATTTGATGTATATCTGATTTATCTCATATAGAATGCGTTTGGTTAAGTTAAAAGAGCGCTTCAGTTTACCGGTGATCATCTTTAGCTCAGCGCACGCAGCTCAAACAGCAGTGCACAACATTAATAACTATGATTGGGAATGTTGTGTATATAACATTCTAATGAGAACATTATTATAATAAAACGTTGTGAATTCTTTGTGTTTAGTTGCTGTGTTTCAGCGCGTTGATATGGGAAGAGCGCATCCACAACTGGATCACACATTCTGACTATAGCATGCAATAACTGCATCATTTAAAACATATATAAGTTGTAATATTATGTTTATGTTGTATTAATATTAATCTCAGGATGCATTTCCTTGAGTTAAATAAGCTGCCAGCAAAACGCTTCAGTTTACCATGTTCATTCAGCTCTTCAGCTTCAGCACGCGCAGCTCAAACGGCTGCTATTTAAAACAGTGGTATTAATTTGTTACTTTTTCAAAATCATTAATACATTATTAATAATAACAACCACTTTTATTTTTCTCTTATTATTTTCATCAACAATATGGTTTAGTAATTAAAATCATTTAATTATTGTCCGTGCAGAGGCTATTCCGTTTTATTGATCTATGGCAAGAATTTTGATTCTTTACACGTGTAATGATGTCCAGTGACTTGTTTGCATTATTTATGCATTATTTTATTTATTTGTAAGACTTTTTTATGACTAAATTTGGTAATGGGAGTGTAAAATTATTTTTAAAACGTACACCGTTCAAACTAGGCTGCTTATGTTGAAGTGTTTGGGATGTGGGTTTTAATGATGAGAACTTTTTTGTAATCAGGCTCTCAAAAAGTATATAACAATTTGGATATAGATTTATCGGCCAACATATCGGTTATCGGCTTTCAAAAATAAAGAATTAACAGTTATCGGTATCGGCCAAAATGTTCATATCGGTGCATCCCTACTTTTAGTCAAGTCACATTTATTTGTATAGCACCTTTAACAAATATAATATCTAAATATCTTCATACCTTTTAGCAGATTAGAGCTGGATGATAATATAGTTTACATTTCGAGATGATACAAGCAATCAAGCAGTTTAGATTTGCTATATAGTATACATTGCTTTATGTGAATATACTGTAAGCACGCAGTTAAGTAGGATGTACTATATACAGTATTCACCTTTATCTAAAGAGCTGGGTTATAATATAGTTACATTTTGCAACAAAAAAAAATAAAATAACAAGCACTTGAGACTTGCCATATCTCTATTTCGTTTTATGTGAGTATACTGTATGTATGTGGATAAAGTTGTACATATATATCAAATTTATATAAATAGCAGGGCAATATAGTTACATTTTGTGACAAAATTAATTAGTGCTGTCAAACGATTAATCACAATTAATTGCATCCAAAATAAAAGTTTTTGTTTACATAATATAGTATAGTAGGTGTATAAAACTTTATTAATTATTCATTTTTAATTATTATTAAAAGTTATACATTTGTTATGTGGTGATATTTACACTTTATACACTTTCTGAGTGAATGATTTTCAATGAAAAAAAATAAATACTCAAACTCACCTGTTTAGTCATGGAGTCTATTAATCGAACAAACAGATCCTGTTCTGTCCTGATACCTGGAGGTTTAAAATGGAATAAATACATATTAGACACAAAAACATGCATCTCGTAAACAAAATGTTTTCTTAGGCTCTGCGTATAATAAAATCTTGCTCAGTTGCATAATAAAAAAAAAAAATCTAATGTGCCATATTTCAACACAAATACTTGTAGAATCAAGTGTGCGTTCAAATTAAAAGGCTCTTTGAGTAAACAGAACAGAAAGCCAGTCCCAAACGGAAAGCCCAATTGTTTTGAAAAGTCTACATAAAGGGACTCGTTTCTTATGGAAAGTCTTGGAAATTAATTTGTTTTATTATTCTTTTCCCTACAGTACGTTTATGCGCATTCTGTTATGCTTGTCATGCTGACTGAGCTATTCCGTTAACGCTTCTTAGCAAAAACAAACTCGGCTCAGCTTCAGAGTTTTTCTATTATTTATGATTTTCCCGCCTTAAAGTGTGAGAGCTCGCTTTTCTCCTGCCCTGCTGTCTGGTGGATGACAGAGAATCCACATCTACAGACAAATCACTCACCACTAGCTGTTATCATTACAGCAGGAGAAGAGAACAGTCTTGTACTGAGACTTTGGTTCCAACTCTTCTTATTGTCTCTCATTAATGGCATATATATATATATTTAATTGTATATATATATGTATATATGTGTGTATATTTAAAATATATATATATATATATATATATATATATTTAACAATTTAAATCGCTAATATTGACAAGTGTAACATCGTACCTGCTCTTAATGTAGCCAGTGTGTGTGTACTTTACTAAGAACTAATAGCTCAAATGAGACCTTGTTTAACGTGTCTGTGTGGGTGAGTAGCGTGGAATGACATTAGACATGAGCGTAAACTGTGAAAGGGTGGCAAATGTGTTCAACAGCATGAACTCCTCTCAGGATAAACAGATGGAGCTCTCAAATACTCTCCCAGATGTGATGAGACATGTTGCATGATTGTGGTTACATATCGTTTACAGTTGGCCCCGCTCTGCCTCGCAATATGTCTTTGTTATTGATGAGATATGGAAAGGGTTTGCAGGAGCAGTATGGGTCTCACCGTTGCTGTAGAGAAGCTGTAACCTGTAGTGGATGCCATTGTTGGTCTTCTCGCCATTGTATTCCTAAAAGAATGCACAAGCAAGTAGGACAATTTATGAGAATAAAAACGAAATTGTCATCTATTAAAACACTGACCATCAAGACAGGTAATCTCAGCATGTTGACCTTCAGATCTGAATTGTGACTCACTGCTGATAACGACTCTGCTAATTATGGAACCAATGTCCTGTGGCAACAATGATGACAATGTTAGCAAAAACTACAACTAAAGACATTCACAACTATGTGTTTTATTTATTCAGGTTTGACTATCCATTTTTCTATATACTTTTTCTATACATCTATTCACAACTGGTCAACTGTTTGGGGTTGGTCATATTTTTTTACATTTTGTTAAGACTCTTATGTTCACCAAGACTACATTTATTTGATCAAAAATATGATAAATTTGTAAAGTAAAACATTATTACAAAATATTATTACAATTTAAGTAGTTGTTTTCTATCTTAAAATATTTTAAAAAGTAATTTTTTTCCTGTGATGGCAAAGCTGAATTTTCAGCATCATTACTCAAGCCTCTAGTGTCACATGATCTTTCAGAAATCATTCTTATATGCTGATTTCTTAGTATTACTATTTCTTAGTATTATCAATGTCGAATAAAAATGTGCTGCTTAATATTTGTGTGGAAACCATGTTACATTTTTTAGGATTCTTTGATGAACAGAACGTACAAAAGAACAGCATTTATTTAAAATAAAAATATTTTATGACATTATAAATGTCTTTACAGTCATTTTGATCAATTGAATGCATCCTTGCTGAATAAAAGTATTAATTTCTTTTAAAAACAATTTTACTGACACATAACTTTTGAACAATAGTGTAAATTGATATATAGCTACAAAAGGGGTGCTTTTATGAAACCAATTAGAATTTGGATTTTTACCAATTTGAAAGTTAGTTTGAAGGCTAATTTATAATCTCTATTGAGAAATTCAAAATCATTCACTTTCTAATAATCACAGCAAAATAACTGCAGTGCATCCAAATGTGAGCCCAGTTTGGTTTCACTCTTTGGACTAATTGTGAGGTTCACATTTAATCATCACATCCAGGCTTCAGGAGAGTTATTTTACCCTGATGTGACATCAATCCAATGTGACGCAGGAACACGACACACCCACACATGTCGTCAGTCTATCTCCTCACTGCCAAGTTTAGTGGTAGTGTCTTGGCAGCGACCCAATGTGGAGTGGAGGAGTGTGTGGGGGGTTATGGCGGAGGTGAGCGGACAGCGAGGACAGAGCGCTGACCGTGCCAGCTGGACCCCGTCCCGTATGACTGTGGGCGGAGCTGTTCTCTGTAACCTTTTACTGAGAACAACCCCCCGACACACCCACCGCGGGGTGAGCAGGACTACCCTCCGGCATACACTACAGGGCTAGCAGGTACAAACACATGACTACACTCCAGAATGGAGCTATAGCGGTACTGTGAAAAGGCGATTTTTAGAGGAATACTTTGGGAAAGAGCGAGATTTATTCCCATGATGCTGATTCTGAGAACCGCACTCAAAGGATAAGCAAAGAACAAAATAACATGGGGCAAACAGCAATTCTCTGTTAGAAACGCTGGGTATTTTATAATATATTTAATTTGGGAAAAAAAGACATTACATATAATGTCAATGCAATTCTTATGACAAAAAGGTGGTCTCATCGGTGCCCCCTAGATGTACTACCTGGTACCGCTACTACTGAGAATCACAACTCTGTGTGATAATGTGAGTTTGATACCCTGAACTAGATCTCACATATACACAATGCAACTGCATAAAGCAGAGGAAACATATAATGTAATATAGAATAGATTTAAAATATAGAATATCTTACCAATATTTCTAACCATATTTATTTTTTTATATTGATGAAATACATTTTTTTTTTAAACACGCAAATTAAAACCAAATAAAACAATTTTTTAGGAAATATTTAGAATAAAGAATGTGCGTATGATCAAAAAATTATTTTTCTTTTTTTTTTTACTTTTTTAACCTAAAAAAAATACATTGTTGAAATGTATCTGAAATGTATCTTAAAGTATGTAAACATTAAAAATTGTTGCAGAGGGTTTGGAAAATGTTCAGGGTTTTTTTGTTTAGATTTTTTCCAAATAATCAGTATGCATGATCAATTAATATTAATTAATTTACATATTGTTTTTATTATTACCTTTTTTTCTTTTTTTTTTACTTTTTTAACCAACTTGAATCAGATATACATCTAAAATATATCTAAAGAACGAATTTGACCCGTGCAACAATAATTAAACTAATCAAAGTGTGAGATGGGAAGTGGGAGTAAAATTGTATGTCCCTCTTTTTTTTCTAAATGAAAGATCTATGAAAACTTTTCTGCTGCATCAGAATTATTTCTAAGCTTAATTCTAACATGGCATGACCTTTTTATTTACTAAACGTGCATCTAAAAACAATTATACCATTATACATTCTTAGCATGTTCTCGAAGTTCAATATGCAACACCCCAGCATATCACAAATCCTGTTGCGTTGTGTAGCGCCGTCTATTAGTGACAGAGTGCTTACTTTGTCTTTTTCCACAAAGTCCACGTAGGAGGTTCTCTCGATCTCGACGGGCTGTCCCTGCCGGTCATACAGGGCCAGAACGAAGTGAAAGAAGTTTGACTTGCGCAGGTTCGAGGGAGGCTGTTTCTCATAATGGGCTCTTGCCAAACCCACACCACTACGAGAGAGAGAGAGAGAGAGAGACGGAGAGATTAATGTACTGTAACCCAAATAATCATTCAAAATATGAGCTTGCAGAAAGATGAAATGGCAGATTCACATGAATTTATCATATTGTATATAAATACATAACATTGACAAGTCACCGCAGTGTCTAATTTTATACGTTCGGCATGTGAATCACAACATTTTTCTACTAAGAGTGTATAATAATTCCAAATAAAATGCGTAAAATTATAAAGACTACAGGAAACACAAACAGGAAATTGGAGCTGTTACAAAGACTGATAACAGGAAATAACTGAGAGGTGTTAGGAGAGAGATATTTGGCTTGTTTTCTCATGCCCTGTGTGTGCCATGAACTCTATTGTCTGCCCCTCTCTGCTCTGCCACCTCAACAATTGGACTCTGGCGTGGAGCGGGGGACCCCAGAAGGCACCGTCTGCCTTTGCGGCTGCCAATCGCTACTGGGTACGGCTCGCCTTGGCAACTGCTGCGTTCCTCTTTCCCTGACCTGTCAGTCAAACCCGCTCGGGCCTCCCCAGGGTTCAGCCGATAGAAGCCTCCATCCTGACTCTCGCACTTGAGCATCGATTAGAACGCGTAGCAAACGACGGACTGACAAAGACGAGGAGCTTCGCGCAGCCCGAAAGGAGGCGGCCCGCACCTCCACGCCAACCCTACGCATCCACCTATCAATCAAACCATCAGCCCTGGCCCACTGACGCAAACGCTGATCATCTTTCCATACCTGGATCAGTGGACGCAGGGGCCTCAGAGAGTGATGAAGGCCTGAAGTAAAGCAAGGAAGATTAAAATGCAGGTGGTCTATTTTTAATAGGATGGTAATTCATGCATCCCTTTCCTCGAGCAGAAACCGATGTCAAGCACTTAATCTGACACTTTTTTTTACCACATTACAATTTAAAATGAAAATTCAGATTTGCCATCAATGGAATAAATAACATAAAAATATTTCACATTTTTTGTTCAAATAAACACAGCCTTATTAAGAAGAACAGACTTCTTTCTAAATCACTAAAACATCATTCCAACCCCAGACTTGATGGCGGTGGTCTGTATGTATGTTTCTTCATATTAGGCTGGGACAGGAGAACGTTTTTTCACATAATTAATCAAATAAATAAATGACATCACCACCAAGTCAAACCAAGTGGCCCGTAATATTTATAATTCCCTAAATCATTAAATGAAAAAGTGTGTAATGTTCACATACATAAATTGCAGCTGTCATTGTTAAGTCTGTTCATTATTTACTCGTTACTCTGATGAGGTGGGCCGAAATGCATTTGAATCTCAAAAATATGCTCATACATAAATATTTGTTCATCTGCTGAGCTCGGGGTGGGGAGCCAGTGTTTTGGAAAGCGGCCTGCTCTCGGTCTCCGCTCGTTGAGATATTCCCCTGGTAGGACATTAATAAAGCCTGACCCCTCCCCAGTACTATTACCAGGGCTTAATGCTTCATTTGTATCCGAGCCTGGTGAAATCTCATTCGTGAAGTTGAGGTTACTACACTGAAGGCAAAAACAGCTTTCACAGAAGAGGCTGTGGGAGGGGGATTCAGGGAGGAGCACTTTTAAAGCGGATGACTTCAACGTAAATGGGAAATATGATCTTCTTCATCTGTAGTAATTGATTCGCAGTGAAGATCTTTAGCAGTCTGACTGGTCAGGGCGGTGCTAAGTCTGACAGATGCCCTCTAAATGTGATAAGAAAAAAGCATACAAAATAAGACAGTAAAACAGAGCTTTAAAGATTAGAATTATACTATATGATATATATCTATATTATACTATGTCAAAAACATTTTAAATAATTATTTATGTTGGGTAGTCAATACATTACATGTCCATTAGCACATTTTTTTAAATCAAAACATCAAGATTTTAGGGTCAAATTTCTGGATATTTTTAAACAGCCTTACAATTACAAAATAATGATACTATTTTTTATATATATATATGTATATAATTTAAATTTTATATATTTTTATACTTTTATATATATAAAAATAAGGAATATAAAAAGAATAAATATTTTACAAAATTAATTTTTAATTTTTAATTATTAATATTATTGTATTGCACTACAAAAAATAATGTAGAAAAAGGCACATTTTACATATATAATAATTCCATATTAAATATAGCATGCCACAGAGCAGGATACATCAACAGTCTGGGCCCAAATCCTGTGTCTGCACTGCATGAAATGCACAAGCACATGTAAACACAAATTATCACCTTCGCTTAGGAAGACAGAATTACAAAATTACACATTTGTGGGGAAGCAAGAAGGAAAAAATTTAAAACACAGTATCACACTTAAACACACACATATTGCATCATGAGCTCCTCTCCATTACCCCATCAGCTCAGTTACAAAGCCAGGCATCATGTTTCTGATGGGGTGAGGGAGAAAGGCAGCGTTCCCGCACGCTCTCACAGAGGCACGGATCTTTACGCGCAGGAAACGATCGACTCGGAAAGCTTGTTAGTGTTATTATTTTAATTATGTTGATTGCTGCCATATCCACTCCAGCAGTTATGAGTCAGAGGCAGAGGCACTATTGGACGGCTCTCACTCGCTCTGTATTGAAATAACTGCTATGGAGGTGACAAACACGCACACACAGACAGCAGAGCTGTGTAAATCAGTCGCTAATGGACGGCTACAGCACACGGTCTCACAACGGTCTCCGTTAAACACACTGTTTGACATGTTCTCGTCACAGAGCGGAGAGAAATAAAAGGAAAAAAGCATGCAAGCCAGAAACAACCCTAGTTCTGAAACAATTCTGGATGTAAAAACACCCTCCACTTTTATTTGAATCAATAAATACAGTCTCACAGAATACAGTCTAACAATAAACCACTCATAGCAGGAGCTGAAGGGTTTGTAATGATGACATTTCCTAATACGAGAACGCCGTCTTTCTATGCAGTCGGTGGCTCAGTCTGCGGCCCTTTGCACACTGCAGGCTTAATGCGATACAGCATTATAAGTCTAATTATGTTAAATGAAAAAAGTAACCCCAGGCTAAAATCCTCACAGCTCAAGGGCCTGTACACTTGAGGGAAATAGATACTAAGCACAGAGACTCAAACTCTGAAATCATCTGCTAATGAACATGCAGAGGAGAAGAACTGCCAATACACAGGTCACAGCAGGATCTGCTGAGATATTGAGGAGTTAGCTGACGTGTGTGTGAGTAAAAAAGAGAGGTGAGTGATGCCTTCACATGTGCATCTCAATAAAACAATCGTCTCGCAGTGAAAAATAATGATCGATTATAATGATTGATTAAAATGTTAAATCTGTACATTTTACAGAAAGCATTGCAAATGTCATTTACAATGCATTTAACTCCCGTAACGTGACACACTTCAGAGGAAAACTGAATATTTAGTCTTCAAAAAAATTCATATCAGCTATCAGGATTTGTTTATTACTATTAGTTACAACTATTTTTCCCACCCACCTGGCCTAGGTTACGTCAGCAAAAAGAGAAAATGTTTCAGAGGTCAGTGAAGTTATTAACCATAGTTAAAGATGCATACTTAACATCGAAATATCAGGTTTATATTGCATGACTTTTGAGCTGATGCTAACTAAATTTTAGTAACATGCAAGTCCTGCATGAAAAATGTCATAATACTTTGAGCTCTGATGAATCCCAGCTATAAAATCTAATTAATTTTCACATACATTACTAGGATTTTCCACACTCACTCTTGCAAATTGTAGATTTAAATATGTTTTATTACATTTTTCTACAATGTATTGGACAAGAAACTTATAATAATACAAATTTAATACCTGTCAAAAGATTTAGGTCAGGATTTGATTAGGTCAGGAGACCGTATTAAATAAATACAAAAGGATAAGATTAAGATGAATAAAATAAAGGAATTAATATTATTATTTATATAATTTGATATTGTGAGTCTCTGCAGCCCCCAAAATGACATCAATGAGAGTAAAGAAAATTAATAGATTCATTCTGATTTCATAATATCTTTGATGTACACTGGCGTTCAAAATTTTGAGATTTTTTTCTCGAAAGTATTTTCTCATGCAACAAAAAAGCTAATTATTATAATGATTTTAAAAAATCTATTTTAATATTTTAAAATGTAATTTATTTATTCCTGTGATGCAAAGCTGAATTTTAGGCATCATTGCTCTAATCTTCAGTTACACAATCCTTCAAAAATAATTTGAAGATGCTGATTTGGTGTTCAAGAAACATTTCTCATTATTATCAATGTTGAAAACAGTTGTGCTGCTTAACCATGATATATATTTTTTCAGCTTTTTCAAAATAGTTCAAAATAACAATTATTTGAAATAGAAATCTTTTGTAGCATTATAAATGCCTTTACTGTCACTTTTGATCACTTGAATGCATCCTTGCTGAATAAAAGCATTGATTTCTTTAAAAAGAATTTTGTATTAACTGTATTAACCAGTATTCTAACTACTTTTCCATGAGGTGTCTGTTAAAATGCCTGCGAAATAAAGATATATGACACAAGCAGTGTGTGTGTGTGTGTGTGTGTGGCATATGGGTGGCATCACGGACCGAGCCCCACATCTCAGTGACATTAATCACGCCTGTGATGGACTGTGACAGAGGGAAGTCTTTAACTACAGCTCGTCTCTCTCTCTCTCACCATCGAACTAATGAGCCGTACAGCAGCGCTCTGTTTATACAAATGTGACGCGTAAAAATCATCTCTGCCCTGGCTGGGAGCCAACGTGCTGATCCAACAAGTAAATGTAAATCTCGTTCTCTCTCTCTCTAATGCTCTTCATTCCTCATTTTCCCTTTTTTACAAATTTCTTTTTCTCATTTGTTGCATCCGGCCTGACGGTTTCCCTCTCAGAAAGGTCTCGTCGAAAACAAAGGTTACAAGGCTGGATGGTATCAGTTGAGATTTGGTCAATAATGCAACTGCTTTCATCGGAGAT